GCACTGAGAGTTGTACACAAAAATAAAGCAGGGAAGGCTCGAGAGAATGGCGTGGGGTAATATTTTAATAGTTTGGTCACAGAGGTGAAGTTTAAGTAGAAACCTGCATGAAGGGAGAAAGCGAGCTCTGTGATTGTCTAGGAGAGGAGCATTCCATAAAGAACATACAAAGCCTGCAAGGGGAATGTGCCTGGTATTACATGGTGAGTTCTAAATAGTCCATAGACATTTGAAAATAATGAATATCCTATTGGTAAGTAAAAATTTTTAAATTGTTACTAGGATGCATCTAGGTGTGGCCCTTTGTGAATTTTTATAAACTCTCAGGGATTCCTTTTAATTTAAAGATTCAAATATTTTATTTCCTCTGGAAAATATTATTTTATTCATTTTTTTCTCCAGCGGTTCTGTTTTATTCTCCATACATATTTTAGGTCTTCTGGAGCTCTCTTCCATATCTCTGACCTTTATTTTCAGAATTCATTTCTTCTGTGTCTTTTCCTCCTGAATTCTGAGATATTCTCTTAGGCTTTTTTCCCCTGATTTCTAACACATCTGGTCCCTTCTTGTCTAATAATTCTTAGAAGAAACTATTCCTTGTCCGAACCATCTCCTGTGACAAAGCACTTACAAAAGGTTCAGTTTCCTTCTCCCATTAACCCCTAACTCTCTCCATTGCCCCCTTTCTACCCTGGGATTTATGGCACCTTCCTCATTAATGGCAGTAACCACAAGGAGGCAGTTTACTCTGATGGAAACTTCCATAGGCAGCAAAATAGAACACCTGCGTTCTTATCCCGTCTCTGATTTTACTAGCGGTGTGGCCTTGGGTGAATCTCATAACTTTTCAGGCATTCTAGTTCCTTTTCTATATAATGTAGGGAATAAAATAAACTTTATTTAGCCCACAGGGTGGTTATAAAAATAAAAATAAATGAAAAGTGTATATGAATGGCACCACATCACCTCACCCTAGAATCCTGGGGATCATTCCTGTACTGTATACTCTGCCTTCCCTAGGGATGAGCTATCTGTGATCTTCTGTAATTCAGCCCCCAACACTTGGGTGCTGGTTCCCATCAAGATCATTGTTCCAGCAGTTGTCTCCTGTGTTCCTACCCTATTAAATTTTCTCTACTGGTTTATTCCCATCACTATAATTTCTCCCACATTCAGAACAACCAACCCACCCTACCTGGACCCCATATCCACCTCTAGCCCCGTTTCTCTGTTCTTTTCAGCAAAACTCCTTGAAAACGATGGCTCTTCTGTCTCCACTTCCTTTCCTTCCATTCTTTCTTGAACCTACTCCAGCCAATGTTTGTGTCCTCCACTCTAGAGAATCAGCTTTTGTCGAGACTTCTAATGATCTCTGTGATGCCAAATCCAATGGACATTTCTCGTTCCTCGTATCATTCAACCTCTTAGTAGCATTTGGCCATTGTTCTCACCTTCCTTCACGGCAGACTTTCTTCACTGGGCTTCCAGTGAAGCCCAATTCTCTTGGTTTTCCTTCTGTTCCACTGGTGTCTCTTTTTCAGACTCCTTTCTTTTTTCCTTTTCATCTCCCTCTTCTCTAACCATTGGAGCTCCCTGGGCTCAGGTCTTGGGCCTTTTCTCTTCCTTACCTTCACTCACTCTGTAGGTGATCTTATCTAGTCTCAGGGCTTTAAATGCCATCTGTACATCAGTAACTTCCAGTTTTATATTTCTACATTTGGACTTTCTCCTGAACTCCAGAACCAAATGTCTAATGGACACTTGACATTCCCACTTGGAGGCGTAATAGTCATCTCAAGTATTAAGGTCTAAAACAGAACTCATAGTTGATCCATTCAAACCTACTTCTTTCACAGTCCTTTGTGTTAAAAAAGAACAACTTTATTTATTTTATTTTTTTTTTTTAAAGATTTTATTTATTTATTTTTCCTCCAAAGCCCCGGTAGATAGTTGTATGTCGTAGTTGCACATCCTTCTAGTTGCTGTATGTGGGACGCGGCCTCAGCATGGCCGGAGAAGCGGTGTGCCGGTGCTCGCCCGGGATCCGAACCCAGGCCGCCAGCAGCGGAGCGCACGCACTTAACTGCTAAGCCACCGGGCCGGCCCAAAAAAGAACAACTTTATACTTGCAGTTGCTCAAGCCAATAACCTTAGTGTCATCGTGGCTTCTTTTTTTTTTTTATATATATCTAAAATCAGCAAATCCTGTCAGCTCTACCTTCAGAGAATATTTAGAATCTGATCAGTTCTCATCACCTCCCCCACCACCACCCTAATGCAAGCCACCGTCACTCCTTGCCTGTTTTACTGCAGTAACCTTCTCGCTGGTCTCCTCTCGCTTACCCCACTTGTCCTCTTAGTCCGTTTTCCACAAGTGATCCTTTCATTTTATTTTTTTAATTTTTTGTGAAGAAGATTGGCCCTGAGCTAACATCTGTGCCGATCTTCCTCTGTACTGTATGTGAGACATTGCCACAGCATGGCTTGATGAGCAGTGTGTAGGTCCGTGCCCGGGATCCCAGCCCGTGAACCCTGAGCCACCGAAGCAGAGTGCGCGACCTTAACCGCCATGCCACCGGGCTGGCCCACGAGGGATCCTTTTAAATGTAAATCAGATTATGCCATTCCTTGGCTGAAAACATTTCAGTGGCTTCCTGTCTTACTCAAGAGTAAAAACCAAATTCTTACAATGGCCCACAAGCCCCATGGGATCCAGCTTCCAGCTACCTCTCTGACCTAGATGGGCCTCTGACCCTCTTTCTCTCGCACACCGCATTCCAGCCACTCTAGTCTCCTTCCTCTTTGATGATCAAAGAAAGCCTGCTCTTGCCTTGAGGCCTTTGCAATTCTGTTCCCTCTGCTAGGAATGTGCTTCCCGTAGATATCCATATTGCTCCCTCACTCCATTCGGTCTGTGCTTACATGTCACCTTCTCAATGCAAAGCCTTCTCAGGCCACCATCCATTCCCCTAAAGCTCCCTATCCCTTTACCCTTCTTTATTTTTCTCCATAAAACTTCGGCCACCTGACCTATAAGCAGGAATATTAATGTCAGTGTATCAATATTTGTTATTGTCTCTGTCCATTAGAGTGTGAGGTCCACTGGACAGGGACTGGATTTATTATCTTCCTCCCACGTAGACCCAGGCCAGCTGAGGTGGGAACTCAGGGAACGTGAAAGAATTCCTGACTTGTCTTCCTCTCTGCCTCCATGTCCAATCAGGTGCCGGCGCCTGTTGATTTTACTTCTCTGCACCTTGAAGTCATCCCCGTCCTCTTCATTTCCACAGTCACTGTCCTGGGTCAGGCCCTTCATTTGCTTGGAAAAGTATAAGCACCTTTCAGTTGATCTCCCTGACTCCAGTTTTACTACTTTCCAATAAAATCATCTGGCCATGGCCCTATCACCTCCTCTTTAAATTCTTCTGTGGCCTTCCATTCGTTAATGGGTGAAAACCCAACTTTTATATATTCAGTCGGTATTCATTGCACCTGTATCCTTCAGACGTTGTGGCAGATGCCAGTTACAGTGATGATGAGACCTGGCCCTTCCCCTCATAGTTATTTTATTTCATAACCCATTTTCCATTCATTTTCCAACCCCTGATGTCATCTCCAGCATTATCTTCCTCTAGATTCTAGAAGTAATTAAATTTAAACTTAGATTAATTAAAATGAAATGAAATGAAAAATTCAGTTCCTCAGTCATACTAGCCACATTTTAGATGCTTAATAGCCACATGTGGCTAATGCCTACGTTATTGACAGTACGGATGCGAAGATTTCTATTTCCATCATCATAGAAAGTTTTGTAGGACAGCACTGGTCTAGACTTTTCCCAAACTACACAAGTCATTCCGGATTACTCTCTGCTGCCCAAACACACCATATACTTTTTGTCCACTATTTTGCCACTGCCCTTCACTCTGCTCAGAATGCGCTTCTGTCCCTTTTCTGCCTATTAAAATTCTCTGATTTTTAGGTCTCAATGCCTGTTCTACAACTTAGAGGACATTTTCCGTGACGTGACTTTCCATTGATTAAATTGGTCTTCCTTCTGACCGCCTCCCCACCATAGGAGGCTTCTTGTACCTCTAGTTAGAACCAGCCTTACTACCCTCCTTAAAACCCCTGAGTTCTCCTTACTTTGAGGTACAGGCCGTTCTCCACAGAACTCCAGCCTCAGTATCTGCCAGCCAGTGAGGAAGCAGTGGTCTGCAGGAAAGCAGTAGGGAGGGCTTAGATGGAAAATAAGGAGTGCTGGGCCAAGAAGCTTCTAGAAATTGAGTTCCCTTTCAGGTCAATACTCTGAATTTGCAGGTTTGCTTGTAAGATGCCTGCATTTCTGTGGTTTTCTTGCTCCTGTCTGGTGAGTCCAGCTGGGGCTGGAGTCTTTGACGAAGCCCCTGGTATGGGTGGTGTCTTTCTTTGGACTAAGAAGGAGGAAGTAGAGCCAGGGAGGTGCCCAAGAGATTTTGCCTGTTGAGCCCAGAGAAGCTGGAAGACTTTAAGGATGTCTTTTTCTCAGAGTTCGGCCTGCACAAGTACACTGTGCTCCTAGCCTGCAGGTGCTGTTCTCATCCTGAGGGGTAAAATGGATGAGTCTGAGTTGGGATCCTCCTTGCTGCAGCTGCAAAGGAAGATCTGCTTGGAACAGGTGGGAGCCATCTAGGCCCCATCTAGGGTATAGATTAGCATCACCAAGATGGGGGACCGTCCAGGCTGGAATCCCTCCCACTGAGGTGTTTGGATTCTTTGTCAGTGCTGGAGCACATCTTCTTTGAATCCGTTTTTGATTTCCCTAGAGTTTAGGGAGGGGCTGGGTTATGTTAACTCTGTAGTTCATAATATTCGTGTTGTGTGGCTGGACAAGGGGAGGGCCAGGGAAGCAGAGCAGGGACACTGGAGTACAGTTGTTTTAAGCCCGTCTATTTAGGAGTGCTGAGGTGAGCTCGGTCTATGGGAGATTTCCCCTTTCTCCCTCTACTCTGCTTTTTCAGGACTCTGCACTTGTCCAAGAGAAGAATCTAGAGAAATCGGAGCAGCTCAGGGAGTTCTAAAAGCCATGGCACAAGTAAGTTGAAGTTTCCTCTATCCTTGAACTAATCTGTCTTCCCTCAAGATGGTATGAACATTTGTGTTTTTTATCCTGAAACTTCCCTGTCTCACTGAGCCCCTTTCAGTAACCTGCTCCCCGTTCCTCTATCCCAGGGAATAAGTGATGCTGCTACACTTCCCTTAGTGGCTCTCTCTTCTCCAACAGTGTAGACATATGCGCACAGTGCTCTTACTAGAGCACCAGTGAAGCAGAAATATATTCTCTTGAGAGAATATGAGAGCCTCCCTTATCAGAACCAGGGTTGAGTGGGGCCAAAGATGAGATAACTTGATCTTTTCCGTTAGCCTGGGTGGTTTCCTTTCTTCTATTTTTAAATGCCACCCCCTCCTAAAAAATCATAAAACACTTCATACTATCAAAGAATATATACAAAAACATATTTATAACATATATATGGTATAAATAACAATAAAGAATAAATAAGAATAATAAAGTGAGTATTGATGTATTCATCACCCAGGTTAATATACCATCTAAGCATCCCATGTTCCCTTCCCAGATCACATCCTTCTCATATCGCATTACCATTCCAACCAACGGTAATGACTACTGTTAATCTTGTGTTTGTTGGTCCTTGGATTTTTATAAAAGTAATACTGTATACAAATGCATACTAAGCAATATACTGTTGAGTTTTCTGTTTTTAAATTTGATGTAGAGTTGTCATACTCACTCTGTATTCTTGCCCAGATTTTTCACTTAACACAGTATTTCAAATCATTCATGTTAAATTGTGTAGCCCTGGATCAGCGGTCTCAAAGCCTGGTCCAAGAAGACTGAGACCCTTTCAGGAGGCCTGGGGGGTCAAATTATTTTTGTAATAATACTAACATATTATTTGCCTTTTCACTCACATTCTCTAATAAGTGTACAGTGGAGGTTCCCAGAAGCTATAGGATATGTGTTATCCCAGCAGATTGAGTGCAGAAGCAGATGTGACAATCCAACTGTCTTTTATTCAGCCAGTCATTAAAGAGATTTGCAAAAATGTAAAACAGAGCTATTAAATTTTTTGACAATAGAGTCATTTTTCATAAAATGTATGCTATTTACATTAACATAACATGTTTATTGTTGGTTATTTAAATAAATTAATAGTTTTTAAATTTCTCACTTTTAATTTCTAATGTGGTAAATATTGATAGATATAACCGGCTTTAACAAAAGTTCTTTGAGGTCCTTAATAATTTTCTTAATAGCTTCATTTATTGTATATATAATTCACATACAATAAAATTCACCCATGCAAGTATACAGTTCAGTGGGTTTTAGTATGTTTGCAGAGTTGTACAACCATCAGCACAATCCATTTTAGAACATTTTTATCACCCCAAAAAGAAATCCCATTTGCATTAGCAGTCACTCTAATCGCCCCTCCTCATCCATTGGCAACCAGTAATTTACTTTCTGTCTCTATGGATTTGCCTATTCTGGACGTTTTGTATACATGGAATCATACAATATTTGATCTTTTATGTCTGGCTTTTTTCACTTAACATAATGTTTTCAAGCTTCATCCATGTTGTAGCATGTATCAGTACTTCATTTTTATACCTAATAATATTCCATGGATTTCTCTATACCATATTTTGTTCATCAGTCTTTGAACATTTGGGTTGTTTCTGCTTTTTGGCTATCATGAATAATGCTGCTATGAAAGTTGATGTATGCTGGTATTTTTGGGTGGACATACGTTTTCATCTCTATACCTAGGAGTAGAATTGCTGGGTAACATGATAACTCTATATTTAACATTTTGAGAAACTGTCAAAACTTTTTTCCGAAGTGGCTGCCCCATTTTACATTCTCACCAGCAGTGTAAGAGGGTTCCGATTTCTCCACATCCTCACCAACACTCGTTATTTTGTTTTTTTGATAATAGCCATCCTAAAGGATATGAAGTGGCATCTTATTGTGGTTTTGATTTGCATGTCCCTAATGATTAGGAAATGTTGAGCGTCTTTTCATATGCTTATTGGCCATTTGTTTATCTTCTTTGGAGAAATCTCTATTCAAATTCTTTGCCCAGTTTTGTTTTGTTTTGTTTTTGTGAGGAAGATCAGCCCTGAGCTAACATCCGTTGCCAATCCTCCTCTTTTTGCTAAGGAAGACTGGCCCTGGGCTAACATCCGTGCCCATCTCCCTCTACTTTATATGGGACGCCCCAATAGCATGGCTTGATAAGCGGTACGTTGGTCTGCATCCAGGATCCAAACCTGCAAACCCTGGGCCGCTGAAGCGGAGCCTGCAAACTTAACCTCTATGTCACCGGGCCGGCCCCCTTTGCCTAGTTTTTAATTCTGTTGTCTTTTTATTATTGAATTGTATATTCTGGATACAAGTCCCTTATCAGATATAAGATTTGCAAACATTTTCTCCCAGTTTGGTGGGTTGGATTTTCACTTTCTTTTTGGAATCATTTGTAGTGTAAAAGTTTTTAATTTTGATGAAGTTTATTTTATCTTTTTGTTCTTTTTGTCACTGTGTTTGGTGCCGTATCTAAGAAACCATTGCCTGCCCAAGGTCATGAAGATATACTCCTATGCTTTCTGCTAAGAGTTTTATAGTTTTAGCTTTTACATTGAAGTCCACAATCTATTTTGAGTTAATTTTTATATATGGTGTGAAGTGGGGTCCAGCTTTATTCTTTGCATATAGATATCCACTTGTCCCAGGACTATTTGTTAAAAAGGCTGATCTTTCCCCATTGAATTGACTTGGTTGACTTAATTTAATATGTGATAATCCTTAGGGAACTGGGTAGAGGATGCCTTCCTTCAGAGAGGTTCTGCACCTGGGAATGTTCTCAAACTCAGCACACTTTTAATTTTTCACCTGAGGTTTCCCCTAACTGCATGAATGATGTTACTTTGAATTCTGTACTTACTTGAGGGTAGGCCTTTGGTTATAGATTGGCAAAGGAAATGATTATTAGTAGTATTAGTAGTATCATTAATGATAACCTTTTTTTTTTCTACCTGGCGTGCAGCAGGGTCCTTGTCACCCTTTTCCAGCAAGGTTTTCATTGGAGCCCACCATGTCACAGAGAGTAGCTCTTCTAGGATCCCAGCTTTAAGTGAGGGTCATGTGTTCACACTCCATTTGGTGTGTGTCCTAGGCCCCGTACTAAGGTTAATCCTCAAAGCGTTTGACTTCAGGGTGGCCCCTGCTAACATATTTGCTTACCTCTCTGAGTTCAACTGTGTGTGTGTGTGTGGGTGTGGGTGTGGGTGTGGGTGTGTGGGTGTGGGTGTGTGTTTCGCTTTTTTTGTTAGCTCTGGGATTTAATTGTCCTTACCTTCTTGAGAGCTTAGAGATTTGTTTAAAAGAGTATTTGTTATAATTTATCCCATGCCTAGATGTTTGCAGCAGAAGCCCCCAGTCTGACCTCTTTGATGTAGACATGGTCAAAGCTGGAGTGGTTGGTCTTGGTCTCCATATGTGGTGACATCTCCTATTTTGTGAAGCCTTTAGGATGGGGGCTGTGATTGGGAACTTCAGTTACAGAAGGTTCTCCAGTCTTGCAAGGGAATTTATGAGAGATGAATAACCATAAAATGGTCCATTTTGAGGTTGAACAATATATATTGGTTGTGGGCCACATTTATGTGACTGAGACACACCCTCCATCAACTTTCTTATTTCAGGAACAAGAAAAAGTGGACGGCGAAGGACGATGGATGTTAACAAGTATATAATAAACATTGAAGATTTTACAGATCGTGTTTAAGCTAAATGCCCCCAAATAATCGAATGATTATATCTTACAGGGCATAAGATGCATTATTATGTAGCAAATAAAAATCCCTGTGTTTAATATAAAATTTGCCATAACAAAAAATATGCTCGTGATATCTAACAAACTGCTTTTCAGTGGGGACACTGTTGTCATTTTCAGCAGTACGGTTCCTTGTTGTATGGGACTGTCTTGGGTACATGGCTCAGATAATTCAGGACACTTAACATTCCTGATACCAGGCACTAAATGCCAGTAGCGCACTGCCCACCCCTGCAGCCCAAGCTCCGCCAACATTGTGACAACTAGACCATCCCCTCTGTGATTCCAAATGCGTCCTAAAGGGGAAGGTGTAACCTGGGTTGAGATCCACAGACTGATTATGACCCTGAGTCTTCAAAACAAAACTTGTGTAAGTCTTATATTTTAAGATAGAGATTTATAAGACATTTTGGATTCTATCTTTTTTATTATCTCAATGGAGAAATGGTAAAAGGGACTCATTTTTAAAGACATTACTTGCAAGACCCATATTTGCTATGTGTTTTATATATGTGTTTCATTTATTTACAAAACTCCACTTAGCTAGATTTTGCTCATTCCCAGACCCTTGTGGAAAATAGAAGAGCCCCACTGTAGGAAAGAGGCCTTATCTCAAGCCACAGGAATATTCAAAGGCATGTAGGCCTTTAGTCAAATAAATTTGTTTATTATACTTCCTTCATGGCGTAAGCATTTAGCTCTAGCTTGCTTGCTTGCTTGCGTTATCATCTCCTTCCTACAACACCCTCCTCCGTCTCCTCTCTTTCCATCTTACAGACATTTTCCTGGATGAGTCAGGTTGTTAACACCTGAACCTATGCATCAGTTTTAACCTCATTAGAAGTGGGACAACCGGTCATTATGTGCCTCGTAATGGGATGCGATAGGAAGTACACAGCACCACCTCTGACTTATTCATACCCCTCCAAAAAATGTGCATCAGGCCTCCAGATCTAACTACTTTTCCACAGAAAATATGGAAGTAAAGCAACATGTTAAAGTATACTATGAAGATGCAATTGGCCAAATCCAGAATGTGGGAAATTCTACTGATTCAAATGTTTCTTTAATAAATAAATAGCAATAAAATTTTTTAAAGAGTTTGTGGGGGCTGTTAGAGATTTCAGAGACTTTAGGAAACCTGTCAACTAAATGCAGTGTGTAGATCTTGTTTGAACCTTGATTTGAACAAACCAACTGTAAAAAATCACTTTTGAGAAAATAGGGGCAATTTGAAACTTGATCTGGTTGTTAGGAAATTATTGTTAATTGTGTTAAGCTTGATTTATGCCTTTTTTTTTAAGTCTAATCTGTTAGATAGTAAAGTATTTGTGGGTAAAATACTGTGATGTTTGGTATGTAGGATTTGCCTCAGAATACAGCAGGGGTGAAAAACGGCAGGGAAGAGAGGAAACAAGATTTGCAAAGTCTTGTTAATTGTTGAAGCAGAGTGATGGATTCCTGGGGGTCATTATACTATTCTCTATACTTTTGTGTATTTTGAAATTTTTGGTAATAAATGAAAAAAATGATAGTTCTTTCATTTACTAGTAATGCCTGGGTTTGTTATTTCAGGGACTGGTGACATTCAGGGATGTGGCCATAGAGTTCTCTCAGGAAGAATGGAAGTGCCTGGAACCTGCCCAGAGAGACTTGTACAGGGATGTGACTTTGGAGAACTTCGGTAACTTGGTCTCACTAGGTAAGGCTATTGTATAATACAGGGCTGGACAGGAAACAAGGCTCCCAGGGACTACAATAGTGGGAGACTGTTACCACGGTAGGGGTAAAAGAGGAAACACTGCCACCGGATGATGGTGAGGGCCTGAGTCATGGAGAAGGGCCCGGCTGGCAGCAACTGTAGCCACCTCCAGAACTCCTGGGTCAAAGGAGGGAGGGAGAGGGATAAGAAATACCCTGAACGCTCGCTCTTCCTGCCCACTGACCTCCTGCTGATGCTTTCCATCTGCCAGACCCGTAGACCAGACTAATACAGTCCTTACAGGTAAGCTGTCGGGCACAGAGCAGGGCAAGGAACTGCGAAGAATGAATTGGGGGGAAGGAGAGGGCAAATGGAGAATAACCGCCGTAGTTATCTACTCTAAATAATTCAGGACTAGCCTTCTGGAATTTCTGATATCTTCATGGTGAATATCTAGGGAGACTCACAAGTTTCTGGCTGAATTTCTGCTCTCTGTTCCAAAGAGAATTGTTTATGTTTGTGAAAGTGGAAATAGGTAATTCCATTGGCACCTGCATCTTTGTATCCTTTGGACAACCTTTACACCTTCCCTCATGTAATTGCTTTTCCTCTTTGATGACCGAGGGACTGGGTTTGGAATTTGGAACAGCATAATCATGCCCCATTTCTTTTTCTATAAACAGGACTTTCCATTTCTAAGCCTGATGTCATTTCCTTGTTGGAGCAAGGGAAGGAACCCTGGGTGATTGCAGCTGATATGCCAGGACCGTGGTGCCCAGGTGAGCAAGGGCTGATCCAGTGGGGGAGGTCATTGGGAATAATAGCCCAGCAGGTGATCCAACTGATAGCAGTACTTGGAGTTACTGATGGGATGTTCCCCTCAAAGCCATGCCAAAAACTGCCAGAATAAAGGCCTGAGACAGGCAGACACGCAGAGCAGACCTTGTCAGCATCAGCTCCCAAGGGAACACTGCCCTTGCCCCCATTCATTCCTCTCTGTTCTTATATTCCTCTCATTTCAAAAAGAGATGTGCTACCTTCTTCCCCAGCGGCCAGCTTTTTACCTGTACTTTGGATCCTTTCTTCTGCAAGTATCTTCATCCCATAAAAAAATACTTATTTTTTTAAAACAGCTTCTCACTTTACCTAATTCAGCAATTCATTTATTCTCTTAACTTTTGAGAGGTAAGGTTGTGTGGTGCTTGAGGGCACAGACTTTGGAATCAGACTACCTGAGTGCAAATTCTGGCTCTGCCACTTACTAGATCTGTGAGTTTAAAATTACTTAAATTCTCTGCAAATGGGATAAAAATAGTGCCTTCCACATGTAGTTATTGTGGCTGTTATATGAGTTAATAATGTGAAAATGCCCAAAACAATGCCAGGAGATAGTGACCACTAAATAAATGATATCGAGTATTATTAGTTGGCGTTGGCTGGACAATATTGAACCTTCAAATACTTCATTATCAGTTACTCTCTCCTGACTTCTCTGCTATTGTTGTCATTATTTATTTTCATCATTTTTTCTCGATCTGAAGAACACCCGTAAAATTTCCTTTTGTGCAGGTCTGCTCTTGACAGACTCTCTGTTGTGGACCACATGAAAATGTCTTTATTCTACCTTCTTTCTTGTAGGATATTTTCACTGAGTATGGAATTCTGTGTTGGCAGGAGTTTCCTCAGCCCAAAGAAGAAATCATTACACTGCGTTTTCTCTTCCAATGTTGTCGTTAAGTAGTTGCAATTTTGGAAAATGTTCCGTGTATATTTAAAACTAGTGTTCTTTGGATGAGACACTTGCCTCTTTGTTTAACTATAACCCTTTTGATTATATGATTTAGAATCTGCATGTCCTTTTAGCTTTCTCTGTCCTGGTGCTATCAAATTCTGAGAGCTGTTTCTTTTTTTGTGTGTGTGAGGAAGATCAGCCCTGTGCTAACATCTGCCAATCCTCCTCTTTTTTTGCTGAGGAAGACTGGCCCTGGGCTAACATCCGTGCCTATCTTCCTCCACTTTATATGGGATGCTGCCACAGCATGGCTTGCCAAGCGGTGCGTCAGTGTGCGCCCAGGATCTGAACTGGCGAACCCCGGGCCGCCGCAGCGGAGCGCGCGCACTTAACCACTTGCGCCACGGGGCCGGCCCCTGAGAGCTGTTTCTTGTATTATGTATTTTGCTACTACATTTTACATTTTGTAAAGATGAAATACAGCTCCTTGTTGCAAATTGTATTTTTTTTTGAAGAAGAAGATTAGTCCTGAACTAACATCTGTTGCCAATCCTCCTCTTTTTCGCTGAGGAAGATTGGCCCTGAGCTAACATCCATGCCCATCTTCCTCTGCTTTATATGGGATGCCACTGCTTGACAAGCAGTGCATGTGTCCGCACCCGGGATCCAAACCTGCGAACCCTGGGCCGCCGAAGCAGAGTGTGTGAACTTAACTGCTACACCACTGGGCTGGCCCCTGCAAATTGTATTTTTATCAGTACAGTCCTCCTTTATTTTCCCATTTAGTGCTTTTAACCTTGAATTCTATTTTTTCTAAAATTAATATCAAATGCCCTCTTTTTGTTGGCTTGAAAAATTGGCATATCTTTGCTTATCCTTTTTTTAAAAATTATTGCCACTTTATTTTAAGTGTGTCCATTGTAATCAGGATTCTGTTAGAATTTCCTTTTTTAATCAGTCTGAGATTCCTTGCCTTTAATAAGGGAATTCAGTCTGTTCTCATTTATTGTGATGATTAATATGTCTTTTCTTATTCCTGCCATTTTATTTTATATTTTCTGTTCCTTGTTCTTCCTAGTTCCAGCTATTCCTGTTTTGCTCATATTTTATCACTCTTTCTGCCCTCAAATGATTTTAAAGTTGTACTTCCTCTTGCTTTTTACTAGAATAATCTTTAATTTGACTTTTAAAAATTTGCTTAAACTCCTATTAAAAAATAGAATTTTTTTTCTTTGTAGTAAAGTTATTTTTTTAACTGTTTTATTTTGAAATAATTTTAGGCTTATAGAAAACATACGAGATTATTAGAGAGAATTCCCGTACGCCCTTCACTCAGCTTCCACTAGCGTCAGCATTTCCCTTAACCATAGTACAATTCTCAAAACCAGGAGATTGACACTGACATAATACTGTTAACTAATCCACAGATCTCATTAGAATTTTATCAGTTTTCTCCTAATGTCGTTCTTCTGTCCCAGGATCAGATTCTTCTGTCCAGTCCTGGATCCCACATTGTATTTAGTTACTGTCTCTCCTTAGCATCCTCCAATCTGAGACAGTTCCCCAGTCTTTCATGGCCTTTTGATGAATGCTATTTTGAAGAATATCTCTCACTTTGTGTGTGTCTGATATTTTCTCATGATTATATTGAGATTATGCATCTTTGGCAGGAATACCACAGAAGTGATGTTGTGTCCTCTGTGCATCATATCAGGTTACTTGATGTTAATGTAATGGCTTACTACTTGTTAACCTTGATCTCTTGGTTAAGGTAGTGTTTCTCATGTTTTTCCCCTATAAAGTTATTATTTTTCCATCTATAATTGGTAATTATCTTGGGAGGAGATACTTTGAGACTGTACGTGTTGCCTACTGATTTTAGCATCCATTGGTGGATCTTGTCTGTAACAGTTATTACAACAGTGTTGCCTAGTGTTGATTTTCAATGTACCTTATTCTTTCTGTGTTTATTAATTGGCATTCTTCTGTCAGGAAGAGCTTTTCCTACCCCCTCTCCTATTCATTTATGTATTCAACGATTTGTTTCTATCAGTATGGGCTCATGGGTACTTGTTGTATTCTATGGGTTGTAGCCCAATCCTACCATTGTTTATTTCATTGCTCAGATTGTTCAAGCTTTGGCCATTGGGAACTTCTTCAGGTTGGCTCCGGGGTTCTCTCAGCATGCCCTCATTCTTTTTTGAGTACTTCCTTGTTTTCTGATACCACAACATGTTCCAGGCTTATCTTGTAGTTTTCCTACCCAAGCCCTGAAATCAGCCGTTCGTCGAAGGAGCCCTGGTTTCTTTTATTGGAGAATGGTATGAAATAGTATCTTTGAGCTTCTTTTTCTGAGCAAAGTAAGACCTTTACCATCTTTCACTTCCCTGTGCCCTAGACCAGGGGTCGGCAAACTATAATCTGTAGGTAAATCCAGCTCATGCCAGTTTTTTTGTACCACCCACAAGCTAAGAATGGTTTTTACATTTTGAAAGGGTTTAAAAATATCTATATATATGACAGAGACTTTCTGTGGCCCACAAAGCCTAAAACATTTACTATCTGGTCTTTTACAGAAAAAGTTTGTTGACCCCTCCCTAGATTCACCCCCAACCTTACCCTACTCTGATTTTGTTTAAATAATCTGGAGTTTTAGTTTCATACTTTCATTGTTCTTATAATATTTCATAAATTTATAGTATGCATTATTGTTCACTAACAGTAATGATATAAATCAGTCATCTGTAACTACAGCCTGTGGGCCAAATCCTGTGTGCCACCTGTTTTTATATGGCCTATGAGCCTAGTGAATTCTGTAAATGCTTTGTTATAAGGGATGCATATACACAATTAAAATCACATGCTCGTGGATTGATATCAGTATTTGGCAGCACCATCTATATGAAACATTTTCAAAGATAAAATACATAAAATCTCATTACAGATCAGCACTAACAGATGAACATTTGCCATCAATTCTGGTGCTGGAGAACACTACCCTTGAACTCAAGTTAAGTGAAATGTTATCTCCCCCAGAAAAGAATTCTATTCCTCTCATTCATAGATGTGTATTACCAAAAAAAAAAGAAAAAAATTATTTGAGTATGATACTAATTATTATTATACTTTGAATTTCATCAATAAAAACTTTGTGATAATTTGTTTTCTTTCTTGTTATATAAGAACCTGTATAATATCCTCATTTTTGCCTCTTGGACCACAAAGCCTAAAATATTTACTCTCTGGCCCTTTAAAGAAAAGAAAGTTTGCCAACCTCTGATTTAGAGATACAGCTGAAAGTCCATGTTAGAGGAGCAAGGATATATAATCAAAATTATACTTGCTGTGCACCTAAAACAGCCTTAAATCACCAAGACCTCTGCTCTTCAAAGCTCAAGAACCAAGAACCAACTTTCTGGCTTCTCTTTGTACTTTGGCTCTAACCTACGTTTCCTTGGGAGAGTGGGCTCCAAGGATAAGATTGAACAGGTGTGATACATTGATGAATTACTCAGATTTTTCTTTCTGTCTGTTAGTTTCCTGTTGCTTGTGTAACAAATTACCACCAACTTGGTGGCTTTAAGCAACACAAATTTATTATCCTATAGTTCTGGAGATCAGAAGTCCAAAAAGCATCTCACTAGGCTAAAATCAAGGTGTCTGCAGGGCTGCATTCCTTTCTGGAGGCTGCAGGGGAGAATCAATTTTCTTGCCTTTTCCAGCTTCTAGAGGCCACCCACATTCCATGGACTGCAGCCCCCTTCCATCTTCAAAGCCGGCAGGGTAGCATCTTCAAATCTCTTTCTGACTCTGACTTTCCTGCTTCCCTCTTGTACTCATAAGAGCCCTTTTGATTGCATTGGGCCCACCCACATAATCCAAGATTATCTCCTCTTCTTATGGTCAACTCAATAGCAACGTTAATTCCATCTCCAACCTCAATTCCCCCTTGCTGTGTAACATAACATGTTCACAGGTTCCAGGGATTAGGACATGGACATCTTTGGCGGTCATTATTCTGCATACCACTCTGTCTATGTTTTTTGAACACAAATCATTGAATATGCATAAAATAAAAATATATATAGTATGACTCCCCTGAAATTCTATATTTTATTGCTAGTAAGTCCATTGCTGTTTATTCTATAACAAGTATTATCTTTCACAGAATATTTGGTTGGTGCGTATTCTAAGTCTTTGTAGTTCTAGGAGTAGGGAGGAACCTTTTTTAATTAGATTTTTTTAATTGTGGTAAACATTACATAAAATTTACTAGTTTGACCATTTTTAAGTATACAATTCAGTAGCATTAATTACATTCACAAAGTTGTGTAACCATCATCACTATCCGTTTCCAGAACTTATTCCTCATCATCCCAAACAGGAACTCTGTACCCGGTGAACAATAAGTCTCCATTTTCCCCTCCTCCCAGCCCCTGGTTACCTCTATTCTACTTTCTGTCTCTATGAATTTGACTATTCTAGTTACCTAATGTAAGTGGAGTCATACAATGTGTAGCCTTTTGTATCTGTCTTATTTCACTTAGCATAATGTTTTCAAGGTTCATCTATGTTGTAGCAGATATCAGAATTTCCTTCCTTTTTAAGGCTGAATAATACGTAAATCCATTGTATGTATTTACTACATTTTGTTTATCTGTTCATCTGTCGATGGACACTTGAGTTCTTTCCACCTTTTGGCTATTGTGAACAATGCTGCTGTGAACATTGGTGTGCAAGTAGCTGAGTCCCTGTTTTCACTTCTTTGAGTATACCTAGGAATGGAATTGCTGGATCAGATGATAATTGTATGTTTAACTTTTTGAGGATATTTCTCAATTTTTAAGAGCTTTTTATAAATCAGGAAGATCATCCCATTATCTGTGATGTAAGTTTCAAATATTTTCTCTGTCATTTGTCTTTTGACTTTGCTTTTGGTGTTGTTTGTTCATATGCAAGTGGTTTGTTTTATTTTGTTTTTCACCTTTACATAGTGGAATTTATCAGTCTTTTATTTTGTTGCTTTTGGATTTTGAGTCATTGTTTCGTTGTTAGGTTTCCCATACCTAGGTTATAAAGTAAGCCACTGTGTTTCCTTCTAGTATTTGTGTGGTTTCTATTTTCTTGTAACATTAAAATCCTATTTGGAGTTTTTTCTGGTATATAGTGGCAATGTGTGGATCAGCTTTTGTCTTTTTCCAAATGACTATCCAGTTGCTCCAGTTACTTATTACAAAAACTATCCTTTTCCCCTGTGAGATGCCACCTTTATAGTAAATTCAATTTCCATATAAACTTTAGTCTATCTCTGGCCTTTCTATTGTCTTCCGTTGGTCTGTCTCTAGAATCTGATGTTTATTCATTAAACAATCCATTATTAAAAGCCTACTATATGTGCTAGGGTTTGGTTACAATGGCTAGTGAGAAAAACATTATTTCTGCCTTTGGGGAGGTTTAGATGCAAGAAAACAAACAGATCAACAGATAGTAAGTAAATGAAAATCTAAGTACAACTTATAGAAGTGTTATGAAGACAAGGCACAAAATGTGGGAGAGAGAATCAAGGTATATGCTTAGGGTTATCAGGCTGAGAGCTTTTTTGAAAGTGTGAGTTTTAATCTGACACCTGAAGGATGAGAAAAGCAGCCATACAAAGAACCCAGGACAGGATTCCTGATAAATAGAGGAACTCGATGAGAGATCTAAGATGAGAAAGACCTAGATTTGTTCTAGATGCTCAAAAGAGGCCTGTGGTTGGTTCACAGAGGGGAAAGGGGAGAGTGCTCAGTATGAAGATGCATCGTTCTCGGTTGAGACAGAGACAACAAAGATAATCAGGGACCTGCTTTGCCAAGAGCCTGTGAACCATGGCAGTGAGTTTGGAATTCATTCTAAGTGCAGTGGAAAGGCTGTGAGAAAGTTTAACCGCAGATTTTCATTTTGATTGTCATCAGCATTATGTGATGGAAAGTGTTAAAAATATAGATGCCTTATTTATATGAAATATGCGGGGTAGGCAAATTCATAAAGACAGAATTAGGGCTTCTCTGCCATTAGTGATGGCCAGGGGCTGGAGGGAATGAGAAATGGGAAGTGACTGCTTGGGGAGCACAAGGTTTCTATTTGGGGTGATGAGAATGTTCTGGAACTAGATAGTAGGAATGGTTGCATGACATTGGAAATGTACTGCAGACCACTGAATTGTATACTTTAAAATGGGTAAATGGAGACTTTTACATTATGTGAATCTTACTTCAGTTAAAACACATACATATTACTTTTAAAATAGATAGATAGATAGATAAGTATATACTGACAGGTACATGCACATACATGCCTTGGCCCTACTCCTGTAGATTTTAATTCAGTCGGGTAGTTCTTGACATTTGTATTGCTAACAGGCTTCCTGGATGATGCTGATCCCTAGCAAAATTGAGACCCCCTGGCTTAATTTGTTTTCTTACTCCCTTCTGGCACCATATAAGCTCTCATATTTGTGCTTTCATGTGCTTTTTAGAAATTGCACAGCAATATCTGAGACTTATATAAGCCGTTCATCTTTTATGGTTATTATTTTCCTTTTGTCTCTCTAGTCTACTATAGAATTTTTTATTTCTCTTGGAAGAGGAAAACAGCTTGTATTTACTTTTTTTTTTAATTTTTCAGACTTGGAGTCCAGGTGTGAGAAATTTCCACAAAAAGATATTTTTGAAGTAGAGTCATTCAGTTGGGAGCTAATGGAAAGCCTTAAGTGCTGTGGTTTTGAGGGCTCCGGTTTTAGAGATGACTGGGAATACAGTGGCCAGTTTGAAAGACAACAAGTAAACCTGGAGTGCTGTTTCAAGCAAGTGGAAATCACGTATGAAAACGTGCCCACTTTTGAGCATTATACGTCCCTCACTCTGCATCAGAACAATGAGACTGGTGAGAAACTGATTGAATGTAATGAATGTGGGAAAGCGTTTAGCCGTGGCTCACACCTTATTCAACATCAGAAAACTCATACTGGTGAAAAACCCTTTGAATGTAAGGAATGTGGAAGGGCCTTTAGTCGTGCCTCACACCTTGTTCAACATGAGAGAATTCATACAGGTGAGAAACCTTATGACTGTAAGGAATGTGGGAAGGCCTTTGGTCGTACTTCAGAACTTATTCTACATCAGAGACTTCATACTGGTGTCAAACCCTATGAATGTAAAGAATGTGGAAAGACCTTTAGACAGCATTCACAACTTATTCTGCATCAAAGAACTCATACAGGTGAGAAACCCTATGTATGTAAAGATTGTGGGAAAGCTTTTATTCGTGGCTCACAACTTACCGTTCATCGGAGAATTCATACAGGTGCTAGACCCTATCAGTGTAAGGAATGTGGGAAGGCCTTTCGACAGCATTCACAACTTACTGTACATCAGAGAATTCATACTGGTGAGAAGCCCTATGAATGTAAGGAATGTGGAAAGGGCTTTATTCATAGTTCAGAAGTTACTCGACATCAAAGAATTCATTCTGGGGAGAAGCCCTATGAATGTAAGGAATGTGGGAAAGCCTTTAGACAGCATGCACAGCTTACTCGACATCAGAGAGTCCATACTGGTGACAGACCCTATGAATGTAAGGACTGTGGGAAGGCCTTTAGTCGTAGTTCATACCTTATTCAACATCAAAGAATTCATACAGGTGACAAGCCCTACGAATGTAAGGAATGTGGGAAAGCCTTTATTCGTGTTTCACAGTTGACTCATCATCAGCGAGTTCATACTTGTGAGAAACCCTATCAATGTAGGGAGTGTGGAATGGCCTTTATTCGTAGTTCACAACTTACTGAACATCAGAGAATTCATCCCGGTATCAAACCTTATGAATGTCGAGAATGTGGGCAGGCCTTTATTCTTGGCTCCCAGCTCATTGAACACTACAGAATCCATACTGGTTAGAAAGCCTGGCACATTAGGGATGTAGGAAAGCCTTTATGTGAAGTTCACACCTGACTCAATATTAGATAATGCATAATGTAATTAATGTCAGAAAACCTTCATTTGTCACTTCCATTATGAAACATCAGATAACTCATACCAGAAGAAAATTCAATAAATGTGGAATTCTTTTTGCTTCACACTTAATGTTTACTAAGCATCAGAGAACTTATGCTGAAAACAAATTAATATGAATGTAAAAAGTCTTTTATTACCACTCAAAATGTGCTCAACTTCTGAGAATTCCTAATAGAAAATGACTATTAAAATATTTTGTGAATGTGCCTTTTGCCATGGCGTATAACTTGCTTAACATTAACTCGGTTCCACCCATTACTGACTGTATAGCATTGGGCAAGTTATGCAATCTCTCTGTTCCTCAGTTTACTTATTTTTAAGCAGTGATAATTATACCTACCTAATAGAGTTTTCGTGAGGACTCTCAGATATTTTATACAAAGGCTATGCTCAATAAATGTTAGTTATTGTCATTAATTAATAACAGTATTACTGTTAAGGAGTTCATATGAGAGGAGGGCCTTATGAATATATCAAATATCAAAAAGCCTTCATAACCACCTGTTATGGTAATTCATTCTGAAAAACAGTAGTAAAGTATAATTATCATGAGAAGGCCTTCATTCAAAAGGATAGAAATTCAAAAGATTAGTCCTAGGGCCCGTAGCCACCTGTTCATAGGTGCCAAGTCAATAAAACATTGTCCCCTCCCCCCATCTTTTAACTGAAAAAAAAAATTCAGAAGATTAGAAATTGACAGAAGAGAGGCCAGAAGAAATCTGCCATTTAGAAATCTAAAACCACCTCCAGGTGTACCTTCATTTCAAGAGAAATCAAAGCTAAAATAACAAACTAGAAATGAATGACAGTGAATTCGATGTATCAAAACCAGTTCAGTGCAGGGCCGGCCCCGTGGCTTGGCGGTTAAGTGCGCACGCTCCGCTGCTGGCGGCCCGGGTTCGGATCTTGGGTGCGCACTGACGCACCGCTTCTCCGGCCATGCTGGGGCCGCGTGCCACTTGCAGCAACTAGAAGGATGTGCAACTGTGACATGCAACTATCTACTGGAGCTTTGGGGAAAAAAATAAATAAAATTATTTAAAAAAAAAAAAAAAAGCCAGTTTAGTGCAGCCGAAGCCGTGCTCCTGTCAGAAGCCGAGGATTGCAGGTAGGGCCTTGTTCTCCAAATGCAGAGCCCCAGCACTTGTCATTGCCAGTTATATACCAAGCATGTTGAAGGAATGGATGGTCAACTCTGAAAGGAAAAAATTACCCAAGTCAACAGTAAGAATGATTACTAAAAATAAAAGAAAAAAGAAAGTAGAAAACAACAGTAGACATACTCTGAAGGTTATTTATTTAACAATATAGTAAGATACACAGTTTACAAGTCTGATACAGAAAAAACACATTTAGCAATATGAGTGAGGAAGGGGTGGATTTTTTTTAAGTGGCTACTATGCATGACTTCAATATATTTGAAAATCTGGAGAATGAATTTTTACCAAAATATTAAAATTTGTTCAAGAAGATGTGGAATAACTGAATAAATCAATAATTGTAAAAGGTCATAAGAAGTCATTGCAAAGGGTTCCTGGACCCAATTCCAACGTGTGTGGAGGCTTCTCCATACCAACAAGCAGTTCTCGGATGCCAGCAGAGTGTCTGAGAATTCAACTCAATTCTGACATTATCTACCTGGAGATAGAATCAGATTCCACAGGTAAAGGGCTCGGTCCCACAAGACTGCCCTCCACTTCAGACGCCAGTTGCAAGCCCAGGTTGTTACCTGTGCTTCTGACCTATTGGATGGTTACAAACTGGAAATTCTAATGACTCCTCCAACTCAAGATGCCAGTCACAAGTCCAGGTTGTTACCTGTGCTTCTGACTGGCTGTAAAGCAGAGGTTCCCATGACCCCCCTGCTCGGGTTTGATTAATTTGCTAGAATGGCTCCAGAACTCAAGAAAATTCAGTTATTCGCTAGATTGCCAATTTATTGCAAATGATATTAAAGGATATAGAGTAAGGTCCCGAACAAAGGAACTTCTGTCCTGGTGGCGCTTGGGGCCCAGCAAGGTGACATGTGGAAGCGTTCTGGTTCCCCAATATGGAAGGTCTCCAAAAAAGGCCAATGAGTGGTCTGTTAGGGTTTTTGTGAAAGCTTCGTTAGGTAGTCATGATTGACTAAGTCATTGGCCATTGGCAATTGATTCAATCTCAAGCCCCCCCCCTGGAAATCAGGGGGTGTGACTGAAAGTTTCAATACTCTGATCACGTGGCTGATTCTCCTGGCAACCAGCCCCCACCCATGGGTGGGGTCCAAAAATCACCTTCATTAACATAAACTAGACACCCATTTCACCTTTATGACCCTGAAGGGTTTTCAGGAACTGAGGACAAGAGACCAAATATAACAAAAGATGCTGCCATTGCTCTTATCACGCAGGAAATTCCAAGGGTTTTGCGAGTTGTGAGGCAGAAACTGTGGATGAAGACCAAATATATCTGAGAAATGTATTTGTTATAAATCACAATATTGCAGTCATCCTTTAAAGACAGTTTAACCTAAAAAACTTCAAGGAACAGATAATCCCTAAGAGAAAGCTGCCAGTTCATTTTCAAGGCTAAATAAAATTACAATAAACTCAACAAGGATATCTCCCAAAAAGCAAATTGTAGATGATTATCATTTGTGAAGATAAGTAAAATTCCTGCTAATTTAATTGTCTATTAAAGTTAAGAAGCTAATTTTAGAAGGAATGTCTGGAATTTCACCTGTTCTGGGTTAATTATGTTTTCAGAATTTTGATTGTAAGTACAGGAGATGACAATGATGGGAGAAAGAGCCTTAATTCAACCCCAGTGACATCTGGATCAGGGCTTGTGAATGAACCTGAGAAATCTCAAGAAATGGGTCCTCTCAGCCTTTGGGGTAGCCAGGCAGTGTCTGGGGCAGAGGGCCCGTTGCACCCCAATGCCGTCCATCTTCTCAGACATGCTGAGTGTTCTGTGAAAACATCTGCGTTTTCTACACATGCCACTGCCTACAAAGAATGAGAAAGCAGTGATCTGTATGTCATTTTTCTTTAAGTAGTTTAATGATTAGGATGTACAATTGGAGGGGCTCAAAGCTATAACATTAAAAATTGTCACTTTGAATAGTTAAAACACATGCACGGGATAAAAATTTTAAAGTTACAATTAGATATACAGACATAAATCTCCACATTATCTCTGCCCACTGCCCACTGCTATCAAGTTTTTGTATAAATTGCCTCATTTTTATGTTTGCATAAGCGTAGATATACACATAACATACTCTTTATGAAAGTTTTTTACACAAATGGTAGCAAATTTCTATACATTGCTATTTTTGGTTATCCATACACCTTGAAGATTGGACCATATCAATACATATATAGCTGCCCTATCTTTTTCAACAGCTGTATACTATTCCATTGTGTGTTTCATAGTTTATTCAATCTTATCAATTTAGTTTTTTTATTATTTTTTGCTCTTCCAATCCTATAATAAATATTCTTGCATATAAATTATTTTGTATATGTGTGACACATCTTTAAGATAAATCTCTAGAAGTGGAAATGCTAGATTAAAATGTATATATATATGTTTTTAATTTCTGTTATGAAAAATTTGAACATATACAAAAATACACAGAATATTATAATGTATCCCAATGCCCCCATCACCAGCTTCAAGAATTATCAGCTCATGGCCAGTCTTGTTTTATCTGTATTCCCACCTACTCCCCCCACTCCATGTTGTTATTATTTTTGTGTGTGTGAGGAAGACTAGCCCTGAGCTAACATCCGTTGCCGATCCTCCTCTTTTTGCTGAGGAAGATTGGCCCTGGGCTAACATCTGTGCCCATCTTCCTATATTTTACATGGGACACCACCACAGCATGGGTGGACAAGCGGTGCATCAGTCTGCACCCAGGATCTGAACCTTTGAACACCAGGCCACCAAAGCAGAGCGTGTGAACTTAACTGCTACGCCACTGGGCTGGCCCCCTATATTATTTTTTAAGTAAATCCTAGATATATTATTTTATCCATAAATATTTCAGTATGTATTTCTAAAATATATCCCAACTTTAGAAAAAATTTTCACTCCTTAAAAAAATAAAAATACTGCCTTAATGCCATTACATTTCTGATAGTGTTCCAATTTCTAATTGTTTCATAAATGTCAATTTTTTTTAAAGTTACCAGGATCTAAATAATGTACACAAATTGCAGTGGATTGTTATGTCTCTTAAGTCTCAATCTATGCATTCTCCCTCATCCTTTTTTTGTTGCATTTTATTTTTTGAAGAGACTAGGATGTTTGCCTGGTAGAGTTTCTCAGAGCCTGGTTTTGTTGGCTGCATCCACATGGTGTAGTTAAAATGCTCCTCTGTCCTTGATATTTCCCGTAAATTAGTAGTTGGTATCTAAAGGGGTTGATCAGATTGAGGTTCAGTTTTTTTGTTAAGACTACTTATAGTACTTAATATTAGGAAACATAATATTTAGGTGTCTTTTTTATGATTTAGCAGCTATTAATGTTCAATACGTAAATCTGTTAATTCGTTAGGGATTGCAAAATGATGATATCCGATTGTTTCTTCTTATTTTATTAGTTAGAATATTTTTATGAAGAAAAGCTTCCCTTCACCTACTGTTTGGTCATCCCTGTTACGGGGAGGAAAGACAGGATAAGTGCTGCTTTCTTGCCTTCTCTGTTGGTTCTCAAAATAATGAGTTGGTTCCCCAGCATTCTGCCATAGTAACCAAGGAGATTAGGGGTGTGTGAGTGTGAAGTACATGTAATATGTTTAAATCCATGTAAGTTGTACCCTCATTGATGCTCAAATCGTTCCACGTTGGGTGTGCGGGAGCCTCTTTCAGTTGGCTCCTGCGTCCTTTTGATATGACCCCAGAGTCTTCGATCGTTTGCTTGCTGTCTGCCACAAGATGTTCCAGGCTCATCTTGTTCATTTCCTACCTCCCACCTTGAAGTAGCCTTTTTCCAAGGAGTCCTCCTTCCTTTTGGTACTTGGAAACCACAGTTGGGTTGCTAGGAGTGCTTCATTCTCCTGGTTGGGTGTTTTTTTAGATATATCTACATTCTGTTTTATACACGTTGCTCAAGTGCCTTCAGGAAGATTCTGCATCTGTGCATCTACCCACAGCAGAAGGGATCCCAAAGC